GCTGATGGGACTTTGCTTCATCACACAGAGGTTTGTTCCATTTTTTGAGGAAACAAATAGGAAAAACTGGATGCTAACCAATATTGCTATGGGCCTGGAGATTCTGACCTCATTTGAACTGGCAGCTGGCTGTCTTGGACATTAGCACTTTTCCATTAGAATGCAAGTCATTGAACGGTAAACCAATTAGAGCTAAGTAGGCAGCAGGCTCTGTTTATCCCTTAACAGCAAGTAAACAGTCCATTGCCAAACCACTTGACTTTTCTGTACAAGAGAAAGTAATACAGGGAGGTGCTCAGAGGAAAGAAATTGGGAGGTAGTGCATTCCAGGCGAGTGGGATAGTCCTAATACTATTTTTCCTTGGGGACCAATTGTATCAGTCTGTCAGTAAACATTTATTAAATGCCTACTATGTGCCAAGGACTGGTTCTAAGCACTAGGGATACAACGAAAGGTATAAGATAGTGCCTGCTCTCAAGGCATTTACAGTCAAAGTGGGGAGACAAAATGCAAACAAGTATGTTCAAATAAGCTACATACTGAATAATTTGGAAATACTCAACAGAAGAAAGGTCCTAACATTAAGAGGATTGTAGAAGGTGGGATTTTAGCTGGGGCTTGAGGGAAGCCAGGGGAGCCAGGAGGCAGAGATGAGGAAGAAAAACATTCCAGGTATAGGGGACAGCCAGTAAAAATTCCTGGAGTTAGGAGATAGGGAGTGTCTTGTTCAAGGATCAGAAAGGATGCCAATGACTACACTGGGGAAAGTAAGGTATAAGAATTCTGAAAAGGTGAGAGGAAGCTATGAGGGGCTTTGAATGCCAGACAATTTTACATTTGATCCTAGAGGTGACAGGGAGCCATGAGTTTATTGAGTAGGGGAGTGACATGGTCAGACCTGAACCTTAGAAAGATCATTTTGACTAAGCTAATTGGAAGACAGAGTAGAGTGGGGAGAGATTTGTGTTAGGGGGTGTGGCCAGTAGGCATGAGGTGATGAGGGCCTACACCAGGGTAGTGACAGTGTCAGAGGAGAGAAGGGGGCATATATTCAAGAGTTTTTGGGAAGATAAAGTTGACAGGCCTTGGCCACAGATTGGCTATGGGGATGGGGTGGGATGGGGTGAATGGCATTGAGAAGATGAAGATGACACCTAGGTTATAAAGCTGGGTGACTGGGAAGATGGTGATACCCTCCACAATAAGAGAGAAGTTAGGAACAGGGGGAGGGCTTTGAGTGTCAAGTTAATGAATTCAGTTTTGGACATGGTGAGTTTAAGATGTCTATGAGTCTAGAACTTCCAGTTCTAGATGTTTAATAGGCAGTTAGAGATGTGAGATTGGAGGTCAGCAGAAAGTTTAGAGCTGAGTAAGTAGATTAGAGAACCATCAACACAGGATGAAAATTGAATTCATGGGAGTTGATGAAATCACCAAGTGAAATAGTATGCAGGGGTGGGGAACCTGTGGCCTCAAGGCCACATGTGGCTCTCTAGGTCCTCAAGTGCGGCCCTTTGACTGAATCCAAACTTCATAGGACAAACTCCCTTATAAGAGAATTTGTTCTATAAATCCTGGACTCAGTCAAAAGGCCTCACCCAAGGACCTAGAAGGCCACATGTGACCTCAAGGCCATGGTTTCTCCATCCCTAAATAGAGAGAAGAGAAGAATGATTAGGATAGAGCCCTGTGGGATATCCATGGTTAGCATGAATGAGTTGGATGAAGATCCAGCAAAGGGGATTGAGAAGGATCAGTAAGATTAGTAGGAGGAGAACCAGGAGAGAGTGTTGGGATAATGTAAAGAGAAGAGAGTATCAAAGAGAAGAGGGAAGCCAATATTCACTGTGACAGAGGTCTAGAACGATGAAGATTGAGAAAAGGTCATTAGATTAGACAATTAAGAGATACTTAGTGACTTAGGAGAGTAGTTTTGGTTGAATGATGAGGTCTGAAGCCAGGCTATAGAGAGTTAAGAGAGAATTGGCTATAGGCCAATAGCTAGAGGGGATGGATAAATCAAGTGAGGGGTTTGTGGGGAGGGGAGAGATATGGGCATGTATGTAGACAGTAGGGAAGCAGCTATTAAACAAGTAGATATTGAAGAGAAGTGAGAGAATGAGGATGGTAGAGGGGGCAATCTGTTGGGGATGGGATGGAATGGGATCACTTGAGCATGTGGATGGGTTTGCTTTGGCAAGGAGAAGGGCCACCTCGTTATATAAGAGAGAAAGGAAGGAGGAGGTAGTTGCAGAACGAATTTGGGTGATGTCGGATGAGGACAGGAGAAGAAGGAATTCTCTGTGAATGGCCTCATTTTTTTTT